TGCAACCATTATGTTTTATACGAACCTCGCAAACTTTTAAACACGTTCTCTTGTGATACCTGCGAAAGTATTCAGTATAATTTCCGGTAAGATTTCGCGGACAATCTGATCGATTTCTCTTACATTGTGTGCTGAGACTGAAACTTTTCACCTCGGGCAAAGCTTCGTCGCACGGCCCAAACAAACATAGCGAGCAACAGGGCTTGTTGTATATGTGCGTGTTAAAACACACGAAAGGACTCCAAAGGACACTTCACTGTGATTGGGCAGAAAAACACAAAGATTTTCTGGCACCAATCAGATGCCAGAACGAGTGCGACCGTTTGGAACTAGTCTTGTAAGACAATGTCCCCAGGGGCTCTTTTGCCCTTAACTTGAAATCGAATCACAGCCCCTGGGTCTCCGAGGATGGGGCTCTTCTGCCCTTAACTTGAAATCGCCTCACTGCCCCTGGGTCTCCGAGGATGACTCGTCTATGGCGTTATTCGTACTCTAACAAGTGTAGTTGGATAATAAATAATAGAAAAGAACACGGTGGTTAAAATAAAACAGTTTTTGGTGGTTATACAGTTTTAGTTATATGAAGCTCTTTACAACTGGAATGAATGATAGAGAATAATGCGGTGGTTAAAATAAAACAGTTTCTGGTGGTTATAAAGTTTTAGCTGAAACCTCTAATAACTTGAATAAATGATAGGAAAGAGCGCGTTGGTTAAAATAAAATAACCAACTAAAACTGTATAACCACCAAAAACTGTTTTACTTTAACCACAGCGTTCTTTTCATCATTTATTCCAATTACTAAAGGTTTCAACGAACTAAAACTGTATAATCACCAAAAACTGTTTTATTTTAACCACAGCGTTCTTTTCTATCATTTATTCTAGTTATTAAAGATTTCAACCGACTAAAACTGTATAGTCACCAAAAACTGTTTTATTTTAGCCCCCACGTTGTTCTCTATCATTCATTCCAGTTGCAAAGAGCTTCACATAACTAAAACTGTATAACCACCACAACCTGTTTTATTTTAACCACCGTCTTCTTTTCTATCATTTCTTCCAATTATTAAAAGTTTCAACCAACTAAAACTGTATAACCACCAAAAACTGTTTTATTTTAACCACAGTCTTCTTTTCTATCATTTATTCCAATTATTAAAGGTTTCAGAACCAACTAAAACTGTATCGTGGATCACCAAACACTTTTTCATCTTAACCACTACGTTCCGATTTCTATCATTTATTCCAGTTATTAAAGGTGTCAACTAAGTTATTAGTTATTAGTTATTAACTAAGTTATCCAGTTATTAAAGGTGTCTAACCACCAAAAACTGTTTTATTTTAACCACAGCGTTTTTTTCTATCATTCATTCCAATCATAAAGGTTTCAACTAAAACTGTATAACCACCAAAAACTGTTTCATTTTAACCACGGCGTTCTTTTCTTTCATTCATTCTAGTTAATTACAGGTTTCAACTAACTAAAACTGTATAACCCGGCACCAAAAACTGTTTCATTTTAGCCACAGTGTTCTCTTCTATCATTCATTCTAGTTATTAACGGTTTCAACAGACTAAAACTGTATAACAACCAAAAACTGTTTTATTTTAACCACTGCGTTCTTTGCCATCATTTATTCCAGTTATTGAAAGGCCGTTTTCAACCAACTAAAACTGTATAACAACAACAACAACAACAATTTATCACTTATAGAGCGCTATTTACAATGACAGATCAACAGCGCTTTACAATCAATCCTAACCCGCCCATCCCAACCCAGGGGAGGACATCCATCACACAGTAATCTCGTGCGTGGGAAATTAACGTCTCCCACCCCTAACCTTGTAGGAGACGGGACCTCCATTTATCCGTCCCTATCCGAGAAGACTAGAATATCTAACCATTTCTTGATGTTATAGAAAGGTAGCATATTCTTCTCAATTATTTTAAGACCTTGAGTGTTGGTCCGGCCGAGGCTCGAACCCTCGACCTCCCGCACAACAGTCCAGCGCTCTATCCATTGAGCTAACCGGGAGGCGGTTAGCTCAATGGATAGAGTTTTGTTTTATTTTAACCATGGCGTTCCGATTTCTATCATTTATTCCAGTTATTAAAGGTTTCAACTAACTAAAACTGTATAACCACCAAAAACTGTTATATCTTAACCACAGCGTTCTTTTCTATCATTCATTCCAACTATTGAAGGTTTCAACTAAAACTGTATAACCACCAAAAACTGTTTTATTTTAACCACGGCGTTCCGATCTCTATCATTTATTCCAGTTATTAAAGGTTTCAACCAACTAAAACTGTACGACCACCAAAAACCGTTTATTTTAGTTTAGATACTAACACAGGGGGCCCATACAATCTGTTTGTGTAGCCGACTGTGGCTTACTGTAGTTTGCGAAACGAAACGAAACGAAATGGAAAATCTGTAGTTTGCGAAATAGAAAATCTGTGGTTTGCGAGATGGAAAATCTGTAGTTTGCGAAATGAAATTTCCCGGTCAAAATTAAATTATGTCGGGAGATTATCCTGGCGATGACCTTTGCATACATTTGCTACGTAGGAGACCCTTGCGTTATATTTTCTAACAGGTCAGGCGAGTCTAACTTTTGGTCGAGCCATCGAGGGTCGAGGGTCTTATGTCGAGGTCGAGGGTATTAAGTCGAGGGTCCCTTTTTTTGTTTTTCTTTTTCGCAGCCCATGTTCCTAGTCGAGGGTCCCTTTCTTCTTTTTCTTGGTAATAGAAAATACGAGTCATCGCATTGCGTGAGACCGGATGTTGACGTTGTTAAGAAATCAAGGCAAACTAGTTCTGCTGAAGTCTCTCTCCCACGTCCCCCTTGGGGTAAAGGGAAGAGACGGCTGAAATTTAGACTAAGGGGACCTTTGGTGCATGATATCAATCCACATATTGTTAGGAAAATTTTTTCAGTGAAAGGTAAAACAAAAAGTAACTATTGGAGGGAAATTCCTAACTGGTTTGCGTAGCATAGTGGTAAGGCTATGGTCTGATAAGGGTCTGGTAGTAACACGTTGACTGAGGAACAATGGTTCAAGGCTCAGCAGGACTGCCAAGAAAGTAAAAAGGAAAAAAAAAGAAAAGGACCAAACCACTTGTCTCACCAATAATCACATGCAACTCCTTGGCCTCGCATTCCTGTTAGATTTGGCGATGTCACACAGCGGGCAAGGTTGGTAAACTGATTTATCTGCAAAACTTTGTTTTTGTCGAATTGCTTTTAGTTCTTTGAAAATGTGATATATACTTCGACCAACTTTTCGCTAGATAAGGAACACCCGCTGGTGATTGATAGCTCTTACAGCGATGTCGACGACGCCGACCAGAAATAACGTGCGACGAAATGACTTCAGGGGATTGGCAAAGTTTCAGTCACAGCAAATTATGCAAAAAATCTAGAAAGATTTAAGCTTAAATCTAGTTTAACGTNNNNGTATATATATATTAGTATCAGTCAAATTAACTCAAACAATGCATTTAAAGGAAAATAAATACAAAGATAAGATTTAAATTAAAAAATTTTAAATAAATAATAATTGTAATAATAATAATAAGATAACAAGATGGCAAACTAGATATCAGTAGTACTAAAATTCGTCACTGATATTGTTGGTAGCAGTGGAGTTTGAGCCGAAATTAATTTGGTCGATGCATTTATAGAATTTCTTAATACTAGCCTTAAAAGAAGAGTAACTAGGCTTAGACTTTAAATGGCTAGGTAGGCAATTCCAAACAATACTAGCGCGATGAGTGAAAGAATTGTGCAGGGCTTTGGATTTGGGACATTTAAGAGCAAATCTTAAGTTATCTCTTAAATTGTTTGAAGTCTGGCAAATTATGCACAAGTTATAAAAAGGTATATGTTGTGCTTAATTTTTTTTCCTTGGAGTAAACAACATTTTCCTTTGGTTTTGTTAATCCTACGTGAATTGGATAAATGTTTATCCTTTCGGAAGAGACGTCGACGAAGGAGATTTTTGAACAAACACTGAGTTTAATTACGTTTTGTCAAACTACAAAGGAAAGAAAATATATACGTTGCAATATTTTAAAGATACAACTAACTACAGGAATTACAAAGGTTGCAAGAAAATCACTAAAACTACTTACAATTCCGGTTGCCTTCTCTTCTGACTTTTTGAAGCGAGGCACGTATCTATTTATACTTTTACAAAAATATGCGTGTTACGTAATACGCGTATCTTTTAACACATATTTATTAACCCTTTTTTAAAGTCCCAACTTTTACGTCAAAATATGTAAAATATGTGCATTATGCAAAATAATACGAATGAAAAATGCATTTTGTGTAAGGAAAGATAAAATTTAGCTCCTATCTTTTGTATCCTGAAGGATATTAGAAGCGAAATAAAAGGACAAACAGAAAACACGTGTAGTCCACAGTAGACACTAACTCAAATATATTCTTCAGGTATTGCATCATCTTACATCACGTGACCTACAAATACTACATACTTAGCCATACTTTACATACTTAGCCATACTTTAATTAGTCGTGGACATGCTGTTTTTGATCTGTGCGATTCTGCTCTATTCAAGCCTTTCCCCAAGTCCTCCTCACAGAAATAGTTCAAGAAATGAGTATCTAACATCATGCTCTCCAGCATGTCAATTTTTGGCTTTGGAATTTGGAATGGTTCGTCTGCAAAAAGGATTTTTTGGTTTTCGACCTTGGATTGTGCAATGGTTTTCTACATCCACTCTTTGTATTTCAAACAATGGTTACTACAAGCCTGGTGGAATTCTGCATTCATCAACACTTCTTTGTGACACTGTGCCTTGTGAAGTGCGAAGCAATTCAATTCAACCTCGTACTATTCGTGCTTCCTTTGTCTCATTAGACAATCGCTGCTCTGTACCATTATATAAATTCAAGAAAAAATGGTTCAAGAGTAAAATCTCTTATTATTCCAATAGTTCGTCAACTTTTAATTTTTTGGAATTATCAGTCTTGCTTAGCGGTGATGTTCATCCATTGCCTGGCCCGGAGAATAGGAAATCTATTTCAGTTCGTATCTCTCAACGTACGCGACGTCGCCATGGTAACCATCACGCGGTGAAAAATAATCACAAAAGATCTGAAGTCCGTACCATCATTAATATTCCAACTATTTCAGAACAATCTCCTAACGTCAAAAATCATCTTAGGCTCTGCTGCTTGAATGCTAGATCAATTAAAAACAAATCTGCGGATTTTGTTTGCTATGCAGCATCCACCGGTGCGGACATTTACATATTTACAGAAACATGGTTGACGGAACGTGACATGGCACATAGAGCTGAACTTACTCTGCCTGGTTTCAAGCTGCTCGATCAACCGCGTCTTGGAAGGACTGGTGGTGGACTGGCACTCTTAATAAAGAGCGGCTTAGATGCCAAGAAAATGGACGGTGGTGAGCGTAGATCTTTCGAATTTTTTGAATGGACTCTGCGTTATGGTTCAAATAGCTTGAGAATTGCTGTCATCTATCGTATACCATATTCTCAAGCCCATCCAGTCACCACTAGTGTTTTCTTTGATGAATTCATAACTTACCTCGAGTCGATCATCATGTCTCCTGAGCCGTTGCTGATAACGGGTGATTTCAATATTCATGTCGACGTACATACTGACTCTGATGCTTCTCGTTTTCAAGATTTACTATCGTCTATGGGCCTTCAACAGCACGTGGATAAATCTACACATATATCTGGGCACACCTTAGACTTAATGATTACTCGTTGCTCGGATTCATTTCTTACAGCCAAACCTATGACTGACTACTTGTTTTCAGACCATTTTACTGTTCTTTGCGATCTTGCCTTAAGTAAACCATCTCCCAAAAATGAGCAAATATCATATAGAAAACTGAAGGCAATCAAGATTGAGGATTTTAAACAAGATCTGTCTACCTCTGAGCTTTGTAATTACAGTCCAGATTCGCTTAACGATCTCGTTGAATGCTATAACGATACCTTGTCCCAAGTGCTCGAGAGACATGCTCCACTTCGATCCAAAGTTATACGATCTCGACCTCTGGTTCCTTGGTTCAATGAAGATATAAAAAATGCCCGCCGTGAAAAACGGAAAGCAGAAAGAAAATGGCGACGCTCTGGCAAACACGACGATATGTTGTCATACAAAAAGATCAAGAATACGACAAATCGATTAATGAACGAAGCTCGAAGCCAATACTATCATGACTTCATTAATGATAACAGTTCAAACCAAAAAAAGCTCTTTGCAGCTGCGAATACTCTTTTGAATCAAAGGAAAAAGAACACTGTGCTACCACCTTGCGATGATAAGCTTGAATTAGCTGATAGGATGGGCTCGTACTTTGTTCAAAAAATCACTGATATTGGTACAAGACTCGACGTTATGGCTCAAGATCTTTCCACTGACCCGCTTTTAAACTGTACATTGTCACCAACCCCCAAATTTAGTAAATTTACAGCACTTTCTGAACTCGAAGTACGGAAACTTATCGAAAAAAGCTGGTCTTGATCCACTTCTTAGTAACTACAGACCTGTTAGTAATTTGCCATACATATCGAAGCTCACCGAAAAGGCGGTGTATAATCAACTTCATTTACACATGATAGACAATTCTGTTTATCCAGAAATGCAATCATCTTACAGAAAAGGACATAGTACCGAAACAGCGCTTCTTCGGGTTGTTAACGATATCTTAATGAAGATGAATTCACAAGAGGTCACTCTTCTTGTCATGTTGGATCTTAGTGCCGCCTTCGACACTGTTAATCATGATATACTGATCAAACGTCTCCACGAAGAATTAGGTATTGCTGATTCTGCCCTGAGCTGGTTTGAGTCATATCTCCATAACAGGATGCAAAAAGTTGACATCGAGGGATCGATATCTAACCCATTCGATTTAGGCTGCGGTGTTCCTCAAGGGTCGTGTCTTGGACCGATTCTATTTATTATATATGCATCTAAGCTCTTTAAGATCATTGAACACGAGCTCCCTTGTGCTCATTGTTATGCTGATGACACCCAGTTATATCTGAGTTTTAAACCTAATACTACATCTCAAGACCAAGCCTTGCAAGCAATGGAGAACTGTATTGGAAAGATCAGGAAGTGGATGATTCATGATAGACTGTTAATTAATGATAGCAAGACTGAACTGATTTTAATAGGCTCAAAACAACAATTATCTAAACTACAGCCAATCAGTATCTCCGTTGGCAACTCGGTAATTAATAATAGCTCCGAGGTAAAAAATCTAGGCTGTTGGTTGGATGCTAACCTAAGCATGTCTAAGCATATTACAAATATTTGCAAATCTGCATTCTTTTATCTTCATAACATTAGAAGCATTAAGAAACATTTACACGAAGACAGTCTCCATACTTTAGTTCATGCGTTTATAACGAATAGATTAGATTATTGTAACAGTCTTTTGTATGGTGCCTCAAAGGAACTGATAGCTAAAGTACAACGTGTACAGAATGCAGCCGCAAGACTGCTATTGAACGTTGGAAGGTACTCGCATATTACTCCTATTCTATATGAGTTACACTGGCTTCCAATCCAGGCTCGCATTAAATTTAAAATTCTTCTACTTACTTTTAAAGCGCTTCATAATTTACTTCCGTCATATATTAACAGCCTCATATCTATTAAATCAAAATCTTCTTATTGTCTTCGATCTAATGACGGTCTTTACTTAGAGCCCCCTAAGGGTAAGATGCTGAAGACATTTGGTGATCGATCTTTTCAGGCAGCAGCACCATACTTATGGAACAGACTTCCTCATGAAATTAAAATGATTAAGTGTTTGGATAAATTTAAAAAAGCTATTAAAACATTTCTGTTTAATGAAGCTTTTTGTAATCATTAACTTAGATATATTACATTAAAATAATTTATTCTTATGTATTTTTAGCTACCATTACTATTGTAAATTTTTATTTAGATATATAAGGTTTTTAATTTTTATTCAGTGTAAAGCACTATTGATCTGCACATGTAAATAGGGCTATACAACTAATTAAAATTTATTTATTTATTATTATATTTCCTCCTTCCTATACAGTTTTTTTCTAAACCATAAACATAATTTGCTAATATAAACTACAAACTCAACCTGTTTGGAGGCTTGATCACTCGTCCTGATCGGGTGACCACCGGACCGACCTCGGATTTACTGTGGCTAGGTTCAATGGGCCTGGTAAGGGCTGTATCGGGACTCTCACACCCAGAATCGTCACTGCTTTCTAATTGGATATCATTTTCAACAGTTGGTACAGCAATAACATCAGATTTTCTAGATAATTCATTGTTATCTTTAGATGGAATTTGGGAATTTCCACCGGAACTGAGGAGTGCTCCTTTAAAATCCAAGGATGGATTCCTTTTTAACACATCTGGTGTAACCTTTTCCACATGGGAGCCCATCCCTGTATAATTTGGATGCTACCTGCTTCTTTTCTACATGCCTTTTGCAAGCTGGGTTTAACCAAGGAGAGGTGTGTTCTGGGCTCACTTTTTAAAAACAGCTGAGCAGGGGTTTTGTCAGTTGTGGAGTGTGGTGTGTTTCTGTAGTGGAATAGGACATTAGCCACCTCGTGCTGAGGTGACCCCTGGTCAGGACAAGCCCGGTACATCCTTTTGAAAGTTTGTACCTGTCTTTCTGCCAAACCATTTGTACAGGGATGATATGGGGGGCACAAAGTGTGTTTAATGCAATTCATTTTCAAAAATGTCTGGAATTCTCTAGCCACAAATTGTGGGCCATTATCACTGACCACCTCCAATGGCAGCCCTTATCGAGAAAACAGAGCTCTCAAGACCTCTAATGGTAGCATCTCTAATGGTAGTATCTAATGGTAGCATCTTTCCTCACCGGAAAGACCTCCATCCATTTAGAATGGCTATCAACCATCAGGAGAAACCGTTGACCTTTCACCTCAGCGTAATCAGCATGAATTCTTTGCCAAGGCTCAGTTGACCAAGGCCACAGCAGTAAAGGAACTGCCTTAAGAGAATGATGTACCTGGGTAAACACATCCCAAAGGCTTACCTCTCTTCTATATCAAGATCAAAGGACCTGGCTAGTGCTTTCATCCTGCACATACCTGGATGGCACTCGTGTAATTCCTCCAGTAAACGTTTTTGTAAGCTCAATGGGATGATGACACGCCTACCCCACACTAAGCACCCATTTTCCAGCGCAAGCTCATCTCTACAATTCCAAAAGGGTCTAAGCTCTGGACTCGGGCAAGCGCCTGGCCAGCCAGAGGAAGTATATTCATATACCTTTCAACTAATCTATCAAACTATCTGTCTTCGTACCTTCAGCTATCTCTGCTGCAGTTACGGGCAAATTCATCTGTCACCGTTGCAAACACATCCAAATCCTCATCATAAGGCAAAGATTGTAGTGGAAATCGACTGAAAAAATCTGCATTAGAATTGTCAGCAGAAGTTTAGAATGTAATGTCAAAATCATGTCCAGACAGGAGTACAGCCCATCGTTGTAAACGGGCTGCAGCCAATGGGGGAACACTAGATTTTGGACAAAAAATACGAGTTAGAGATTGGTGATCCGTTACTAATGTAAACTTTCTACCATAGAGATAGAGCTGAAATCTTTTAATTCCAAAGATGATAGCCAGTCCCTCTTTTTCTATCTGGGCATAATTTCGTTCAGCACTGCTAAGTGTACGAGAAGCAAACTCCACAGGCCTCTCACTGCCATCTTCCATCAGATGACTCAATACCGCCCCTATGCCTTATGGACTGGCATCCACACTCAGTATAAGAGGCTTTTGTGGGTCATAATGGACTAGAACTTGCTCACTAGAGGGAACTTCTTTGCCCCATAAAAGTGAAATTTCACACTCTTTGCTCCAAAACCATTCAGTCTTGTTCTCAAGAAGGGTGGGTGCACTTTAGACGAAAAATCCTTGATAAACTCTGAGTAATAATTCAACGTGCCTAGGAATGATCGCAGCTGAGACGCATCTTTAGGTCTAGGGGCTAGGCGAGTTGCGTCCAGCTTGCTCTTAACAGGACTGATACCCTCTTTACTCAAAATATGCCCCGTGTACTTCACCTGAGTTTGAAAGAATTGACATTGAAGGCCATTCGCCTTAACATTGTGCTTTGCCAGTCTTCCAAAAACCTGTTTGATCACTTCCATGTGATTGGTGGCTCCACCCGATGTTGCCACCAGAATGTCGTCAACCCACACCATCACACCCTTAATGCCTGACAGGATAGAATCCATGACGCGTTGAAATTGGGAAGCTGCAGTTTTTACCTCAAAACACAGGCGTTTGGATCTAAATAAACCTTTTCTTGTGTTGATGGTTAGTAGCTGAGAGGACTCTTCATCCAAAAATAATTGGTTGAAAGACTGGCTAAATCAATGACAGAAAAGGTATCAGGAATAGCCCCATTTTGAGGCAGCAATGCAAACATGTCTTGTATATTGGGTAATTTGTACACATCATCTTCTATGCGTTCATTAATGGCCTTGTAGTCCCCGCATACTCGTATGCATCCATCAGATTTAGGGACATGTACCACAGGGCTTGCCCAATTGGTGCTAGGTACAGGATATAAAAAATATCTGATTCAACCAAGCGATCATACTCTCTTTCAACTTTCTCCACAAGCGAGTAAGGGACCGGTCTATCCTTCATGAACACTGCTTTGGCACCCTCTTTAAGTTTTAAGGATCCCTTAAAACCCTTGATACCAGAGCCCTGAGCGCAGAACAACATCTTGTGTTTTTCCAATACATCATTAAATTCAGCTGGAAAGGTCTCAGATTTAGGGATTGGAATCTCATTCCTGGTGATTTCTACTTTAACGTTAAACACGTTCTTCCTGTCCACCCTTTTTCTACTCAACCAATCTCGCCCAAACAATGCAGGGAGATTTGGTAAATTGGCCACCGTAACGATTACAAAAGCTGACGTTTCGAGCGTTAGCCCTTCGTCGGAGCGAATAGATGAATTGTGGGTTGTGTGTGCTTTTAAAAGCAGAAAATGGAGCTACTTTATTGATGGGACCATGGCAACGAGAAAAACAAGAATAAGTTAGTGGAATGAAAAGCGTTCGTTGATCCCTGTGGGATTTAGACAGCCGGTTTGAAAGATGAGGTTTTGTTCAAGATTTTTACGGCTTTCCGTGCTACCTAAGTCTAAGGAAAGACCGCAGATTGCCATATGTTGCTTAGAATGATTAGGTAAATTAAAATGTCTAGCGACTGGTTTCGATGTGTCCTTGTCATTCCTTTCCACGTCTCGAAGGTGTTCTCGGAATCGGTCACCTAGTCTTCTGCCTGTTTCGCCGATGTATATCTTTTTGCAATAAGTGCAAGTTATGCAATAGATTACATTGGCGGAGGTGCACGTGAAGTGATCGGTGATCTTAATGGATCGTTTAGGTCCCGACATTTTATCAGTGTTGTGAATGAAAGGACACGTTTTTGCATCGTGCACGAGCGCATTTAAAAGTGCCTGGTTGGCATTAGTCTGAAAAGAACTTCTGACCAAAAAATTGCCTATGTTTTTGTCGCGTTTGAATGAAATGAGCGGAGGCTGCGAAAAGATAGTGCTTGTCTCTGGATCGTTTTGAGGTAATTTTAAGTTTTAAGAGTGATGGATTTAACTGAATGGTTGTGAGGGTGAAACGTGAGAGTGAATGGAATCCGGTCGGAAACTTCCTTATGCGACGTTTGTAGTGCTGCATGTCGATCAATAAGTTGGGCGCGGTGGTAACTAGTGGTACAAAGGAGTCAAGGGTGAACTTTTGCGATAGTATTTCTGATGATGAAAGTGTAAGAAGATGTGATAATCATGCGAGAGGCACACCTATGGATGCAGCTGAAGGTGTGGCCTTTGGATTGTACAGAACTGGAACTGAACAATTGTCCACTGAGTATGTAAATCGCGTCAAACCGTATGTAGTAAATGTTTAGTTAGGTAGGGCGCACATTAATTGTAAAATGGAAGTAGACACGGAAGCATCTCGTTCTACAGTGAACCACTTTAAACTGCATTTGTGACAATCGGGCCTTACATACCGGGCGTATATGACCTTTCTTCTGGCAGTGATGGCATGTGGCATTCTTGAATCTACATGATTCAGATCGATACTGCATACTTCCACATGATTTGCATTTGTCTGCCCTTTTGCTGTTCTGCTCCACGTTGCGTCCAGAATGGACATGTTGAACCTTCTCGGCTTTACTATTAGCTAAATCTCGCATGTGTTCTATGTTCGCTTTACCCGCCAATTCATCTGCAATACATTTGTCATGGGCCGCCGCGTAGGTTAACTCTCTTATTGACAGGAGATGACGTTGGGTTCTAGACATTTTCGGATGTAATCCAGAGACAAGTCTATCTCATAGGGCTTCAGACAGAAAAGCACCAAAGCTGCATGTTGCTGCCAACTTCTTCAGTATCACCATGAATTCTAACACGCTCTCGCATTCTTCTTGGGATGCCGTCCAAAACTTGTGTCTTTCCGCGATCACAATAAGAGCCGGTTCAAAGTGTCCTTGCAACAGCTGTGACAACCGGGTAAACGTCTTGGTATTTGGATTCTCCGGATCACATGAATTATTCAATAGCCTATAAGCATCTGGACCGATAACAGCTAGAAAAACATTCACCTTTTTATCGTCATCGATTTCATTCGCCGCCACGTAGGCTTCGAAACGATCGGCATAATCACTAAATTTCTCTCACTTTTCGTCGAAGGCACCAAGATTGCCAATGAGTGCCGCCATTTCTACTCTCTGTCTAGATTTTGGATCCCATCCTCGTCGCCAATTTTGTATCCTGAAGGATATTAGAAGCGAAATAAAAGGACAAACAGAAATCACGTGTAGTCCACAGTAGACATTAACTCAACTGTATTCTTCAGGTATTGCATCATCTTACATCACGTGGCCTACAAATACTACACTAGCCTAAGTTATGATGAGATGACGTGTCACTATCAATTTGGCCTCTATTAAAAGTAAAACAATCAAACTAAGGATAAAACTAAACCACATAATACCTCATTTTATTTGTATCAATATTGCAATTTTTTCTGGTGTTCACCTAATAGATTCACTCCACTTACAGACAAAGATGGCACCTGTACATTTTACCATTACTCTTAGGCTAAGGCAAATGTGGAAAGCAACAATTCACAAAACAAAAACATATGCAAGTTTTAAATTTTTCAGACCTTTACTGCTTGTTTTTATGAGTGGTTCCAGGATTTTCTTGCACAAAGAGTTCTGGTTGAATGTACCAGTCACCATGTTTTTTGATATGGTGGATTACAGTAACTGTTGTATGAAGTATCCTTCACCAATATTAATTTTGTGAAATTGTCACTGACAAAGAGCTAGTTCATGATTAGATACTGATGGTTTCATTTATTACCGTGCTCTACATTTATCACTGAAGTACTAATTAATTCCTTCGCCATCAGTAATCGCATTAAAGATACTGTGTTAGAAATCACAGCACCATACCCCACCCTTTGGAACAGTCTTCCTCGTGCTAAGACAAGCAGACTCCCTTGGGTTACTTAAGCGTTTAATTAAAGAGGTACGTTGAGGCAAAACATTCATGGAGAGCATCTTTAGCTAGGTTTAGGTTTTAAGTACAGTTTTCATAATAGTATCTTATCCATTTGATGCATGTTGATACTGTTACATATTTTAAATGTTTTATTATTTATAGCTGATGAATTTTCTGTGGATAAATAAAGATTATCTATCTATCTGTCTAAAATCTGTCATCCTCAGCACAATTTCATTTTTTGAGCAAGGCAAAGGTAAAAATCAGACAAGACCACACAGATATCATCACAGAGACAACATTGCTATGTATAATGTTTATATAGTTACTCTATTTATTAATTCAGTGTCAATACTCTCCCTCGTAGCAGCCATAATTTTTAGCCAAATTGGGAAATAGTGGCCTAATTTGGACCGTTTTGGACATCCAAACTTTTAAATTTCCAGGGGAAGGTTCCCCAGACTTTGCCATCCAAGTGGGAATAAATGGCTGCCACACTGTTATTTTGGTCCCTCCCAGTTGCTAAAACATTTTCCCGTCGTTCCACAATCTTACCAAAGCCCCCATATGTGTAGTAATAAAAACATTGAAGTGAAGTGTGCTATCTCAGCAAGAGATGATAATCATGCACACTTTTAAGTGACTCATCCTAGCAGATGTTTGGTAAGGTATTGCATTCTGTGCTCAAAATCTAGTTCACATAGACCTGGGAAAAGGAATGGGGTGTAGCAGTCATTCAGGTCAGTTATTGCTCCAGGCTCTTATTTGAAACCACTGCTCATTTGGTTATCGCTCTTGCCAATACTCTTTCCGGTTATTTGGGTTTTCTTGGAAACTCTTCTCATTGAGAAAGAAGCATGATATGTGTTTACAAATTAAAAGCAAAGAAGAGTGAAAAAAATATGTCGCGTTCCCAGCACGGCAGACACGGGGTGTAGCGTAATTGAGTTCGCCAGGTCAACCACAGTGAAGTACAGGACGGACAGCAGACTCTTACACACGTTTATTGGATTAAATCATGTAATCAGGCTAGCCGACTTGTTACACTCGCGGTAAAAACTAAAAAGGAATGCACAATTTGTCTGAGCTAAGGAAACGAGCTAAACTACAAATCTGACGACAGAAAACACGACTAAAAACTAACAGGAACTCAACGATCGTGACTTACGCCTGATCTTGACTCCGGGGATGAGAAAACTCCAGGTTGTAAAAAAACTCCGACCGAAGGACGCCTATAAAACTCCTCTTTACTCCAGGGACAACTCCTTAAAACTAAAATTTTCGCGTGAAAAAAGGCCTAGTATACTTCTATGATATAAAGGAAACTAAACTGAAACAACTCTTTGTGCGGCTAGCCACAAAAAAGGATATTTATAATCACGTAATCAACACGAAACAAAGCTACATTTCGAGAAAACAGAAGGTCATATAGTGTTCTAGAACGTTCTTTGTACAGCGACGTGACAAAATAGGAGAGTAACAGGATGGTATCTAAGACAGTGGTATAAGTTTTTTTTTTTGCAGGGGAGTAGTTTTTATTTTTGAATCAGAGTTTTAGCCAAACTATGTCTAAGTTTCTACACTTGTTGTTTAGTCTTGTAATTTCTTGCTTTAAGAAGTAAGGTAAAATTGTTTTAATTGGTTTTTTTATTACAGCCACTTGAGTCTGTAAATGAAAAGCAATCACAGAAAA